AGATACACTGTACCATGGAATATCGATCAGTGACACCCAGAGATACACTGTACCATGGAATATCGATCATTGACACCCAGAGATACACTGTATCATGGAATATCGATCAGTGACACCCAGAGATACACTGTACCATGGAATATCGATCAGTGACACCCAGAGATACACTGTACCATGAAATACCGATCAGTGACACCCAGAGATACACTGTACCATGATATATCGATCAGTGACACCCATAGATACACTGTACCATGGAATATCGATCAGTGACACCCAGAGATACACTGTACCATTGAATACCGATCAGTGACACCCGGAGATACACTGTACCATTAAATGCCGATCAGTGACACCCAAAGACACACTGTACCATGAAATACCGATAAGTGACACCCAGAGATAGACTGTACCGTGAAATACCGATCAGTGACACCCAGAGATACACTGTACCGTGAAATACCGATCAGTGACACCCAGAGATACACTGTACCATTAAATACCGATCAGTGACACCCAGAGTATACGTGAATTACTCATCGATGACAACCATTGTGAAGTTGAATTACATATATCTATCAATCACAGTCATCATAAAATGTATACCATACCTGTAAAATATCGGCTCAGGGGAAGAGTTATAGCATTTGTTGTCACCAACGAGCTACACGAGGACAATTTGGTTTGGTTTGGTTTTATCGTTTTAAGCGTCCTTTTAACAGCTAAAGCCATATAAGGACGTACCTCCATGTGTGTTGTGTTTGCGTGCATGTGTGTATGTGTGCCGGAGACAGGGTATGTTGGTGTACTTGCCTCCTTGTGGTAGCGCGGATCTGATGCCATTACCCAACGTGTTGAACGTTAAGCAGTGATTAACAACTACCATTGTTAAGGTCCCGGACTGGGGACAAAGCTCATATCATTCCTCACCTGGGCAAAATTTCAATATTAAAGCCAAAAGTGAGGGGTTTCCAAGCAAGGCACTAATAAATAATAGGTAGTTAGAAGTAGACAGAAATAGAAAGATCCAAATATTGCAATGGGTGCAGCAGATTTAATTTGGTCCCTTTTATGTCCCCAGGTAGTAAATCCCCAATTCTTCATTATTGTACAAGCTGGTATGTACAACGTCACCACACAAGGACACAACGATATTGTACAAGCTGGTATGTTCAACGTGACCACACAAGGACGAAACGACATTGTACAAGCTGGTATGTTCAACGTGACCACACAAGGACAAAACGATATTGTACAAGCTGTTATGTACAACGTCACCACACAAGGACAAAACGACATTGTACAAGCTGGTATGTTCAACGTGACCACACAAGGACAAAACGATATTGTACAAGCTGTTATGTACAACGTCACCACACAAGGGCAAAACGATATTGTACAAGCTGGTATGTTCAACGTGACCACACAAGGACAAAACGATATTGTACAAGCTGTTATGTACAACGTCACCACACAAGGGCAAAACGATATTGTACAAGCTGGTATGTTCAACGTGACCACACAAGGACAAAACGATATTGTACAAGCTGTTATGTACAACGTCACCACACAAGGGCAAAACGATATTGTACAAGCTGGTATGTTCAACGTGACCACACAAGGACAAAACGATATTGTACAAGCTGGTATGTTCAACGTGACCACACAAGGACAAAACGATATTGTACAAGCTGTTATGTACAACGTCACCACACAAGGGCAAAACGATATTGTACAAGCTGGTATGTTCAACGTGACCACACAAGGACAAAACGATATTGTACAAGCTGGTATGTTCAACGTGACCACACAAGGACAAAACGATATTGTACAAGCTGTTATGTACAACGTCACCACACAAGGGCAAAACGATATTGTACAAGCTGGTATGTTCAACGTGACCACACAAGGACAAAACGATATTGTACAAGCTGTTATGTACAACGTCACCACACAAGGGCAAAACGATATTGTACAAGCTGGTATGTTCAACGTGACCACACAAGGACAAAACGATATTGTACACGCTATTATGTACAACGTCACCAACAAGGACAAAACGATATTGTACAAGCTGGTATGTACAACGTGACCGCAAAAGGAGAAAACGACATTGTACAAGCTGTTATGTACAACGTCACCACACAAGGACAAAACGATATTGTACAAGCTGGTATGTACAACGTGACCACACAAGGACAAAACGATATTGTACATGCTGTTATGTACAATGTCACCAACAAGGACAAAACGATAGTGTACAAGCTGTTATGTACAATATCACCACACAAGGACAAAACGATATTTTACAAGCTGTTTTATTATATGCATGAAAATTTCTCGCAATCACATTGGTCGGATCCTATACACGTGACCAGTCCTCAAAAACTCATGTAGACTGGTTATCCGGTGAATATCGATTTCTAAATATAGCATATATGGAAATTCCCCGGAACCTGTCGTAGCGCATGCGCAGTTAGACCGGAACGCGATCTGTCGGATGACAATTAGAAGATGACTGCTGGCGAACGTTTCTCCTCTGTTAGGAAAATTACCAAAATTATTCGAGGATAAAGATGCTGTTAACGTAAAAAAAAAAGGGCCATTGAACACGCAGTGCATGTCCTCCATGCTTATCCTAAGAAAAAGAACCTAGACGATGCCTTCCAAAGCTACAATGATGAACTGTTGTATTCAAACCTGGATAAATTGTACACGGAGGCTCGCGTACAAAAATCAGAACCTTTAGTTTTGTTTTGTTTGATTTTATTGTTGAAGCATATAATAAAACAATTATGGGCTTTTGTGCTGGTAAATATGATGTGATATGAACCTGAAAGAGTGATATTGCCCTCGGCTTCGCCTCAGTCAATAACACTCTTTCGCGTTCATATCACATCATATTCACCAGCACAAAAGTCCATAATTGTATAATATACAACGCCACCACACAAGGACAAAACGACATTGTACAAGCTGTTGTGTACAACGTCACCACACAAGGACAAACAGGTGATACCAGCTCTCGTCTGTAATTACAAAATTCATTTGATAGATGATGGAGTTCTCTTTTCTGTTTCGAAAGTAGTTCTACAGGTATTGAATAGGAGAGCCGTGCAGTACATTTATGCTGATAAACAAGGATCACACGTGATCAGTTGTAAGTCAAACAGTAGTAAGAATACAGCTTATTCGGGCTATATGTAAGGATTCATATGATAAAAAGGGGGAAACGTTCTCAGCCTTGTCACACATAAGTTAAAAACATTGCATCTTAATATACAAGTCTACACACTAAAAATACTTTCATTCACATTCCACCATGTGATGCTAGCTCGAGGAACACTACTGTTTTTGTTCCTAAAACAAGTAACACATTCAGGTAAAACTTGAACGGAGTCTTTATGATAATAAGACAGTCAAATACAGATCTCTATCAAAGCGAGAACGGAGTCTTTATGATAATAAGACAGTCAAATATAGATCTCTATCAAAAGCGAGAACGGAGTCTTTATGATAATAAGACAGTCAAATATAGATCTCTATCAAAAGCGAGAACGGAGTCTTTATGACAATAAGACAGTCAAATACAGATCTCTATCAAAGCGAGAACGGAGTCTTAATGATAATAAGACAGTCAAATATATATCTCTATCAAAGCGAGAACGGGGTCTTTATGATAATAAGACAGTCAAATACAGAATTCTATCAAAGCGAGAACGGAGTCTTTATGATACTAAGACAGTCAAATACAGATCTCTATCAAAGCGAGAACGTAGTCTTTATGATAATAAGACAGTCAAATGTATATCTCTATCAAAGCAAGAATGGAGTCTTTATGATAATAAGACAGTCAAATATAGATCTCTATCAAAGCGAGAACGGAGTCTTAATGATAATAAGACAGTCAAATATATATCTCTATCAAAGCGAGAACGGAGTCTTTATGATACTAAGACAGTCAAATACAGATCTCTATCAA